GGTGAAGCAACGCAGTGACTCCCGCGGGATATACAGTGAACGTAGACTCGCGGAGAATCTACACCACTCTCTCACCAATCCCACACCGGGACCCAGTGTCAAGCCAAAGTCAAGAAGGCCGGAGATGGAGGAGGGCGCAGGCGGCTGGCGCGACCAACAACACGCCTCACTAGGTATGCTTCCGACCGGCAGTGCCATAAAGGCCACATTAATAAGGAACCATTGAGCCTGACTTTCAGGCCGCGGACAGCTACTCCACACAACAAGACACACTGGGCCGACTGCGGTGTCCAAGTTATTGCGTCAGTTGGCAACCCTCCAAGCCACGACTTTTACCGCACCGCGATAGTTCCAGGTGTATCAGATTGTTTTTAGTGAGGAAAAAAGTGTACTGAGGGTCGATCTCACTCTCTCTCCACCGCCGGCAACAGGTCACTGCATGAAATGAGATGGGCGCATTGTTGAAAAGGAAAAGCAAGTCGGAGTTGAGCATTGTAGAACAGATTGTGCAAGGGCGGAGCAACAAGGATAGAGGGGAAGATAAAAAGATAAGAAACGAGAGAGGAAACGAGAAGAAGAGCGAAAAACAAGGAAGAGGGAAGGAGGAAGAGAGAGCCAGAGGGAGGGAGAGAGAGAGAAATGAACGAAGAACAAACGACAGCGGAAACAGGAAGGAGATCGAAACGAAAGAACGAGAACACAGCTTACCTTTCAGCGGAGGATCTTCAGGAAGTGCTAAAACGTTCGATGGAGAAGCTCTTTTTGACAGTAAAAGGCTATTGTAATTGTGGCTGTTAGAAATAGTGCGAGTAATACTAACGACAGTAAGGGCAACAGTACTACGAAGGACAGCAAGGGACAACTAACAGGACTGACGTTGCCTGAGAGGTAGTACTAAGTTGCTATTGATAGAAATAATATTCTAATATTGATGCTACGTCCAGAAAAAGCGCAGTGATGTAGTTGACAGTTCAGGCTAAGTTTTCAGGCATCTATTTTCCACTAATGACGACAGACGGGCAAGTCGGCTGACTTCCCGCACGCACACAGGCGCGTCCAAATAGTTTTTACTGCTAAAGGGCAACTTAAACACACCCCGCCTTGAAATGAATCCGACAAAGCAAAAGGAGACCGAAATGGCCAGTACTGGCTCGTTAGCCGTCATCAGCCAGTCATACCCAATCTCAAGGGTTGGAACCCCCGAGATTTGAACCCGGCACCTTTGGTCATTGAGTTCAATACTCTACCACGGCACCACGAGCGCCTTTGTCGGTTGAGATCGGGAATATGATGATGCACCAGGGGCCGCTATACGTGACACCTCCGCCGGCAATGCAACGCACCAATCGTACACCACTTACTCTTGCTCCACAATAACATGTAAAAGCGGTTGCCACCATTGACTCTCTCTATCTCTCATACACACTCTCAGGCCTCTCTGAAGGCAGTCAACATTAGCTCTGCCTTTGCCTGTGGGCACTGTGGCCTGAGACAGCAACTGAGAGTTGTGTGCGTAATAAATCTCTCTCACTTGTGCCTTTTTCCAAAAACTTGGGATTTAGGCTGATGATTACCGTATTTGAGCACGACCAATGCTCAGAACTCTACAAAGGCAACTTATCCTGATGAAAATTGCTTAAAGTGCCCACATCCGGCCCCTTAACCTCGGGGGAATAACCAAAACTTCTCCTGGGATACAGCCAATAGTATGCTTCTTAGTCCCTTGTCCTAACCCTAACACTAACTTAAAACGTTAGCTAGAACTCTAATCTTAAGCATTACTCTATCCTTAATCTCGCATCCCTGACTTTAGCCCAATTCCAATATAAACACCAATCCTTACGCTAACCCTGACCCTGGTTTCTCTGAAATGTAGCTGAAAGCCATCTGTATTAAGGGACGTTCCTAGTCCCCTGTCCTGTCTAATAGGGGCACACATGCGACCTCTTTCCTAATCTAAATTCATGTTATATGCGATTTTTCTCGCCGTTTTCAGTCCCACTGGAAATGCGGGTTTTCATCACAGAACATTTGAACTACTGGTATAGCGTCCGAGCCTACTATTTCGCCAAGACACTGGCAGATCTGCCCTTCCAGGTGAGTCTAATTCTACACTAGCGTGAGTTTTGGTTTTCTTTACAAAAATACTCGCGCAGAAGGAATTTGTACTGAATATTTTTTTTATGATCGAGATTGCTGAATTTTGTCTACTTATATTATTAATTATGCCAAAGAGGAGAGACGTACCGTCGAATAGAGATTGAATATTTTCCGTTTGGATCCGAATGCAAGAAACCGGAATCTCATTGGTTGATTATCTTTCCAATTACTTCTATGTTACTTATATCTTGGGGGACTGACTCCTGCTTTATGTTTCAAGGGCAGGTGTCGTCTCACGTAACGAAAGGACCTTTGCGGGCGTTTAAAGGAGAAACAAAATTGTTTTAGCAAAACTATTTGCTATTCACCTATTCACACTTGACAAGGTGTCCTACGGTTTTTGGTTTGGATGCGGGGAGAGATATTCTATGGTTTTTATCTGACCAAACGTAGGTAAGAATCTCAGAGAGCAATCCTTGGAGATGAAATAGCACTAGAAAGGGCTAATTAACTGTTTGATTTTTCGAGGAGACTGGGACGCCCGTCCTATATAACAGATTGATTGCATAATAATCTAGCATTGCAGATTGAATGGCCTTCTTAGTTGCTAAATGATCGTTATATTAATCTATACCATCCTTTGTGGTGAAATCGGCTGGAGTAACACTTACCAACACAAATCCAAGTCTAAAAAAATTAATATGCACTGTAAATCTAGAAACTCAACGTATTGGTCATGAATTGAGGTAAATATTTGCATCTCAGGTATGTGTGTTGATAGAGAAGTAGAAGGCGTTTCGATCACCGGAATTGCACACTCTTTCAAGGCTACCATGCGCAGCCGGGTCATGAGAATCAAGGACCGATTAAGCCCCAGTGAGCAGTCGGACGTAGTGTATCGCATACCATGTCTAAACTGTCCCCGAAATTACACAGGACAGAAAG